GCAAATATGAGGTAAATCTCGTAAACCTGCTGGGAGGAAAAAGTAAAATACAGTCAAACCTCGGTTTTCGTCCATAATCCGTTCCAGACGGCTGTTCAAAAACCGAAACCATGCTCTTTAAAAAAAAAAAAAATGTTTATTGACCACGTCTGCTCACAATGGAAATCGACACGAGGAAGCGTCACTTCCTCGTCTACCCGAGGAAGCATCATTTCCTCGTGTAAGGAAGGCGAGAGGAGTCAAGTGGTGCATTCAAGTGCGCTCAGTTTGTTTGAGAACCGAAATTTGTTCGTCATCCGAGGCATAAAAAACTCAAAATTTTTGGTCGAAAACCGAATTGGTCAAGAACCGAGACGTTCGAAAACCAAGGTTTGACTGTAAAACATATTTCCTTTAGCCAGTAGGTGGTGCTATCACAATGGAAAAATAAGTTCTTCAGGCCTAAACTTTTGTCAAATGTGTGAAATTTGAACAAGCTATGTTACCGAATAGTCCAGATGACTTCAGTATAAATTTACAATGGAGGGAAAATCAATCAATCAATCAATAAATAAAAATATTGAATTTGAATGTGTTTACAAACTTTTGACTGGTACCGTATATACGTCCCTGGGGATTGAATGTCAATGGCAGTGAATTAAATACATGTAATATCACACTGTACCTGTTTTCGACCACTAAATAGTCTCAACTACAACCTGACTGGGCGACTAGCTACAGTGTTGTGGAAAGAGATCATATATACGTTGCGCCACAGAGAAAGACACACAAGTATCACACACATTACTGTTTTTGAGGTGACACAGCGGTGAACCACCATATTGAAGGAGGAAATGTGGTTTTTAAAAAAATGAATGAGTGTGTTAAAACTTTGGTGTATCGTTTTAAAACTCCACTTACACTGTACAGATATTGATCTAAATCTGCATCCATTGCAGCATAAAAACACTTGCTCTTTTTAAATTTGACAACAACATTTCAAAACTGAATGAGGAAGACAACACAGAGCTCCTTAATTAAAGCAGGCATTCAACCTGTAAGTGGCCTTGTAAATGCCCGTGGGGGAGCCTTTCCAGAAGAACCGAAACACATTATTGCCTCTACTTCGGTCTCACGTTAAGAGAAAAGAGGGTGGGGGGAGCGATCCGGTTGAGATTGTTCTTCCAGATACACAATCATCCTGTCACATACCATTCGTGACACACGCGCACACAACAATCCCAGGGTTGAGCGGAAGTAGAAATATTCCTTATGTTTGATCCCTGCTCATTCCTCGATTAACCGATAATTACATTACAATGTTTCCCAATAGAAATGTCAATACTGGGAGAAAAAAAATGTTAAAAGAGCTTTTTTTTTTTAAAAGAATTACTTGAATCTTGACTCCACCCACGGCAACAATGCATAATACAATTAGGCAAGAGTCTCTCTTTAATAAACACGACAGATTAAACCCAGCGCCTGCTGTTCGTTAAACTCTCGCCTATTTAGCTACTTACTACGCTGGGAGCAAAAGGATGCAAACACCTGGCATACACAAAAACACACACAAAGCGACAATGGTTTAAAAAACGTCCACTTTGTGCAATGTGTAATCTATGGGACAAAAAGAATGACAGCGCTATGTAGGTGTTTAGCTTTTCCGCTACGTTAGCTAGCTGAGCTACTGGAGGTAGGCACTGTTGATGAAGCACAATTATGTAATTTTTTATTTCATCGCAAACCAACAAGGTTCACAAGCCAAAGGCACTATCTTATTGACAGTTTTGTTCGACCTTTGATGAATAAATCCTATAGCCTATTAACGTAATTGGGGAAAGTCACAGATTAGTTTCTGTCCTTAATTTTGGGGGAAAAAAATCCTGGAACGCATTGAAATGTCGTGACCATGATCCAATCCGCCTGCCCAAAAGCCAGCCTCCACACTGCTGCCAATCGAAACATTTGCTCCCGACGCGTAAATCGTAAATATCAAAGGAAGAATACTACTCACAGTTGTCTTCAGCAAACTGAGCAGCACAAGTAACGCGTTTCAGGGTGCAGCTCCGAAGGCAGGCTGGCTTGTAGCTAACAACGTTTTACCATCTGTGACTGCTCCCAATACCCAAACCTGAGCGGTCCACGGGCGACACCTGCTGCACACTTGGAGGCCACAACACCCGTGAAACGCATTGGACAACTGGTTCCCAAACAAAAACGTAAACACGACTGACAAGTACCACACTCAATGTAGTCCATGCACACGATTACAGTTTGTACCGTTCACGCCTTAATGGGGTGCGAACATGGCATGATCATTACTGTACTACTATACTATACATCCATCCATCCATCAATCCATTTTCTAATTTGCTTATCCTCACGAGGGTTGTGCTGGAGCCTACCCCAGCTGTCATCGGGCAGTAGGCGGGAGACACCCTGAACTGGTTGCCAGACAATCACAGGGCACACAACCATTCGCTCTCACACTCACGCCAAGGGACAATTTAGAGTGACTGTACATCTATTTTAGTTCAAATGTTTGTCTTGACTTGTCACAGAAGGAAGCCCAAAACAATAACAACACTATGACCATTATCCCACACTCAGTCAGCATTGTAGCGGTATTTTGTTGAAGTCTGTGAGGACAATGCCATTTAAATCGAGTTTACTTTTGCAACAATTGATGACAATGAAGTACATCCCTTCAATGAGGGAGGAACTTCCCCAGCTCTCGTTTGGCACAAAGGTAATATGACTCTTCACCTGCATGAAGGACAAAAAAAAATGTTGCTAAGGGGTGTCATAACAACGCATCTCACATATCACAAGCAACCAACCTGCTGTTTGGTAAACCGCAGAGAAAGAAGCATCTGATGAGAGCACATGGTGAGTATAGATTTCATTTAAAAAAACAAAAAACAACAATAATTCTTTTATGTAACAGCTCCACTATTTGTAGAAAGACGAGCATGTGTGGTCAATGGGAATTGTGAAGATTTAAGTGACATTTAGTTGTTGGTATGTTGCTAAATACTCACCATGTGTTATTATCAACAGTAGTAGTAGGAGTAGTAGTAGTTATAGTACTTGTGGAGGCTCTCAGTTGTACAGGAAAGTTCCATCGTAGAAAGGGTTCCGTCAGTCGTCATCTGTACCTGTGGGCATGGGCGTCATTAGGCCTATTTTAGGGAGGCTTCAGCCTCCCTAAAAATGTCTTTAGCCCCCCTAAATAATTTCATTGCATTATTTTAAAAAAAGTATTATTTATTTTTCCTGTACTTTTGCTAATATATTGCATCAAATTCAATGTAATGTGGCCATTTTAAATTATATTTCGATAATCTGCCATTATTGTAATGTTAAATCTCCCAGGTTTCCTGAACGCAACAGGTGTTGCGTTAGCTTTTGACGTGTCTGTCCCCATCGCCACATCAAATGCTAACGCAACAACTGACAGTTCATTGCCGAAAG